TCCATCTGAGAGGCTTGGCACCATCACCAAGGTTTCTGACTCCCCACTGCTCATCTTCAGCGGGCGATGGCACGATGGCAATTAGTTTGCTGGCACCCATTTCCAATCAATTAACTTAGAAAAGCGGCTCTCTTTGGAGGCTGCCAGTAACAGCCGCAACCTTGGATGCCCGGTGTTGGCGTGACAAGCCAGCGCAATCAATCCCAAGGTTGGGTCTGTGGGAATGTGCCACTCTGGAGAATCCCCAGCTGATTCCCCAGCATTTCCTGGTTCAAAGGCTACGTGCGGCTGTGAAAAGCTCAGCTCGGCCTGCAATCAACAGGGGGAGGCTGCCTTCGGAGACCAACCGAGATGGTTTCCGTAGTCAAGGAGGGCCGTGCAGCTTCCTCGTGCAGATGCTTTTCAGACCTTTGAAATTTCAACCTCCTGGGGGTAGGGGTGGAATCCAACCGGTTCTGACAGGTTCTGGAGAACCAGAAGCAGAAATTTTGAGTAGTTTGGAGAACTGGCAAATACCACCTCTGGCTGGCCCCGCCCCATCTATTCTCTGCCTCCCGAGTCCCAGCTGATCAGGAGGGAATGGGGATTTTGCAGTAACCTTCCCCTGCCATTCCCACCAAGCCACACACACAGAATCAGTAGTAAAAAAAAATTGAATTTCACCACTGGTAGTGAGCCCTCTTGAGTTTTCCCTTCAGGGATTCTGATAGGAAGGAAGGAAGGAGGGAGGGAGGGAGGGAGGGAAGGAAGGAAGGAAGGAAAAGAGGGAGGGAAAAGAAGGAAAATGGAGAAGGAAGGAAGGTAGGAGAAGGAGAGGGGAGGAAGGAAGGAATAAAGGAAGGAAGGAAAGAAAGAAAAAAGGGAGGGAGGGGAAGGAAGTAAGGAAAATGGAGAAGGAAGGAAGGGGAAGCGGCCACTTTCACGGGGGAAAGTCAGCAGGTTCTGACAGGTTCTGGAGAACCGGTAGCAGAAATTTTGAGTAGTTCGGAGAACCGGTAGCAGAAATTTTGAGTAGTTTGGAGAACAGGCAAATGCCACCTCTGGCTGGTCCCAGAGTGGGGAGGGAAGGGGGATTTTGCAATATCCTTCTCCTGCCACGCCCACAGAAACGGGTAGTAAAAAAAAATGACTTTCACCATGCCCGGGGGAATCCCATACGGTCAGCTTGGGCAGGCTGATGGAAAGCTTGTAGCTAGAGGGCAGGGTAGAAACACCCAGGGAAAAAGAATGGAGTTGCCACCAGCCCCATATGCAAGATTCTCCCGTTTCCGAGGTTATCTCTAGTAAATTAACCCCAAAGGTCACTTGCTGAGGCTGTGCCCCCCTTTTATCTTCCTTTGCCCTGGAAATTCTCCTCTTTACCATTCTTTGTGGTTCCAGCATCCATAAGATCTAGGAAAACTCTCGTTGTTTATTTCATAACTACTTTCACAATATGCTGGCCAAAACACTGTATATCTGCAAACCACATTGATTAAACAAAGTTGGAACTTTGGGACTACGACCTCCAAAATCCACAGCCAACCTCAATTGCTTCCATGCCAAGTGCCCTCTGTGCCCATTGGGCCTTGCTGTCATCCGGCCTTCTTCTCAAATTCTTCTAAGTCCTGTTGAGGAAGTTCTGAAGGACATTGCTAGAGCACCAAGGCGCCCGTGTGCCACCTTCCCAGCCAACCAGGGGTCCTCCTTTCTACCCCAAGGGGTGCCAGGTGTCATCCCCTTCTAAAAGGTGGGCATTGTTTCCTTTACAGAAGGCCAGCTTGCCCCACTGATACCAGGAGCCGAAGCTCACAGTGGCTGACAGGAGGGATGTTCTCCCCATTATCGCTGAGTAGTTCGAACAAAGCTTTTCTCGGAACTCCTTGAAAATGTGGAATGAGTCAAGAATTCCCACCTGGTCCCATCGTTTCAAAAGCTTTCCCATCATTATCTGAACCCACCTGTCAGTAAAGTGCAGTGAAGACGACCGGATGGTTCATCTCCTCCACAAACTACCTGGGTCTCTTCGCAACTTTGACAGGCACATCATTAGGTGAGCAGACCTGAGGACTGACAGCAGGAGAACCAGAGGAGGGGGAGGAACCCTGTGGATTTCTCTCCTGCTTGCAGGTATATTTGTTCAATCAGGTAAAGATAATCTCGCTCCGTATTCACTTGAACACCTGTCCCCGTGGTCTCTCCCCTCCCAGAGAGCAGCAATCAGCCCTCGCCTCCCAAATTAATCGGTTCAAAGGAAGACGCTTGTCCTGCTAGCAGCCAAGTTTCCAAGCGTTCCGTTGGAACAACAAAATTCACAATATATAAATACAAAATTTCCACCCAGGCTTTTGTCTTGCAGGAAAAACGTTCCGGAGATGTCCAAAAGGAAGGCTGCCTTTTTGAATGGTCTGGATGCCAGAACTCAAGAGTTTCCCAGGCTTTTAAATATTCAAACCATAAAGTTATATTTCAGGGGTTTTGGGGGGGGAGGAGGGGGGAAGTGGGACGCTAAAGGCCTGACTTTCCGCCTCGACTTTAAACAGTGCAACTGCCTTTAACAATGCAATCCATCATTTTTTAATCATCTCGTAAGATTTTAAGGGTCTCAGGGATGGAATTAAGAATGAGATGCTAGCAGTTTGGTTGATGGTTTTTAGGGAATTATGTTAAATAAAGAGTTGCTAAGCCCTTTCATTCAAACTGATCCAGCCACTAAAACATCTCTGAGTGGCAGGTTTTCACGTTAAGTGGACCAGCCCAGGTTTTGTAAAGCAGAGGTGCTGACCCCGGGAGCCAGATCTTGGGTGCAGTTCCCAAGTAAGCCAAATATTATTACCAAATTGTAATTTTTCCCTTCCCTTCTCTCCCTCCCTCCTTCCTTCCTCACCTACCTATCTTCCTACCTCTTGTCCTCCTTCCCTCGGCCTTCATCTTCCTTCCCTCCTCCCTCCTTCCCTTCATCACTCTTCCTTCCTTCCTTCCTTCCTTCCTTCCTTCCTTCCTCACCCACCTACCTTCCTACCTCTTGTTCTCCCTCTCTCCCTCAGCCTTCATCTTTCTATCTTCCTTCCTTCCTTTTCTTTTGATAAATACAAATATTGTGGTCCTTTGAGGCGATATTAGAGTCTTTGGAGTTCTTACTGCAAGAAATAAACCGAGTTCTCTTTTGGAAATTGCATATTTTATCATTCTACATTCTAAATATTTAGACAGTCTATATAACTTACAAGCCACGTATAGGACCCATGCTAATTCAGCTAATGCAAAAACCACACACACACACACACATTTTGCTTCATACTTCTAGCAAGCCTTTCGTAAATGCCTGTGTAAAATGGTGCCAAATTAAATGTGCAAGAAAGAACAGCAACAAAACAAAAAAACCACTATGGAAGATGATGAAATTTTCGGTGGCTGTTTCAAAAATGAGAGTTTGTGGATTTGTGACAACAGTGCAGATTCAGCCAGTTCACCTGAGACATTCATAAGGCCCTTTTCCTTGTCTGCCTCCTTCCCTAATCCCAACAATTCCCCTTCCAGCTGGAAGCCGGCGTGAATTAAGTTCAGCGAGTGTTGCTCTTGGAAAGATGCTGTGCAGGCCCAGTTAATGAGTGGACCGTGGCAGTTAACAAGGAAGAGGGTGGTTCATTTGCCAGGTATCTCTCCTTCCGCTCTTAATTCCTGCACACCTGGGCACCTTTAGCAGCGCTGTGAGTTGGCGTCTTTGGGGAAGCAGATATGGAGGGCAAAATGCAAGTAAGCCAGAGAGGGGAAAAATGAAGAGCTTTAAATGGCCAAAGTAAAGATTTGGAAGGTCGTTTTCTGAGGAGCTGTTTAAACCAGAGGAGGGCAATTCTCGGCTGCAGGCTTAGCTGTGGGGCAGAGAGAGGGCGAGAAGGGGCTCCAGCACTGAACACTTTGAGATTTGAGAAGTTTATTTATATGCCGCCCTTTTCCCTGGGGGGACTCAGGGCGGCTTACAACTCGAAAAGGGGGGGGGGAAACAAACATTTAACACGTAGGACAATACGTCATTAAAAAACACAACATTCATACCATTCGGGTGGGTTACAGTCTTTAGCCCCAGGCCTGACGGGATAGCCAGATTTTGAGGGCTGTGCGGAAGGTCTGGAGGGTGGTGAGGGTACGAATCTCCACGGGGAGATCGTTCCAAAGGATCGGAGCTGCCACCGAGAAGGCTCTCCTCCGCGTGGTTGCCAGTCGACATTGACCGGCAGATGGGACTCGGAGGAGGCCTAATCTATGGGATCTAATAGGTCGAGTGGAGGTGATTGGCAGTAGGCAGTCTCTCAAGTACTGTGTGGCCCAGCCGACTCAAACAATACTTAAAAGGGGAGGTTGGCTTTAAAAATGAGAAAGAAGGAAGACCCCTCACAGCAGAAACACCATGAAATGATCACAGGTGCCCATTCCAGGCATCAACTGCTGAGCTTCTATCTCAAGTTAAACATTAATCTGGAGTTTGTTTGGGGGTTTTTTGGGGGTCAAATGTTAAAACAATTTTCAAGGGCTGTGCTAAGGAACAGCCTGTAGTGAACAAAGGTGGTTTGTTTGTCCAGTTGCCTTTTGGGAAAGCACCTTTGGACCAAACTGGACGAGTTTGCTAAAGTTGTTCCTATGGAGACAGTCAGCTCTGTTAGGGGGGGGGGGGTGTTCCTAAAAGATTACACCAGATTTCCTAGACCAAAATGACCAAATCTTTTTAAGATTCAGCATCGTCCTGGGCAGCGAAGGATGCAATACACTTGGGAGGCAAACCTATTGCTTTGCTGGAGATTATTCTCACGGTTTTACAATCCGCACACCACCTGTCTCCATATTCTCCTTCTATAACAGAATTAGAGAATTAATCTGACCCAGGAAGTAACTGAGAGTAGATGGTGAAAAGCAGTGTAAAGAAGAGCCTGCTAATGCCCCCACATCCTCCTCCTCCTCCTCCTCCTCCTCCTCCCCCAAGAGAACCAAAATTGAGCCACAGAAAGCAAGAAAAAAGGCAAGCGTTTTGCAGAGCGGTTTGATTTTAATTCTAAAACAATTGAGGGGTGTTTGGGGCCAAATGGAAGCCATTCTCCAAGGACTGCAAGTATTCTCTACTTCTCAACTGAGGCAGGCCTTGAAATGCCTCTCACACCCCGGGATCCTGTCACGTCGCCCTTCTGAGAAAGCAAGGGAGCTGAAAGGAGGTTCTTTTCTTCAGCAGGAAGACTGCCCTGGGCTCTGGAGGTTTTCCTAAAGGATCGGGATGCGGGATCAACTAAGAGGCTGTTCGCTTTCCCCGTTTTCCAACAGTTTCCTTTTCTTTTCGTCTGTTCTCCTTTTGAAGATGTGATTCCTGTAGAAATGCAGCTCTTTGATGCTCTCCCGGATGTCATCCAGGGCCCTAAAACAAACGATTCAGTAATCAAAGCAAATACTCTGAAGAAAGGATACAATAGCCACGAAAATAGGAAAAGGAAGAAGTTAGGAGAAAGGGAGAGAAGAAGAAAAAGAATTAAACGTGGAATTTTGGAGAGCCCAAATGGTTAAAAGAGAAAGAAAGCGGAAAAGAGTTACATTAGTAGATCAAAGGGAATAGTAGTAAGACTGTTATTGTTATGTAATTAATTAAGAAATAAAGAAATTATAGTACATTGTTAATTGTAGAAAAATTGAAAGAAATGCTCTCTAAGTTTAAATTGAATTAGAAGATATATGTTGTTTATAGTAAAATATATAAATGGAGAAAATAAGTAATGAAAATTTGGTTTCATTTTGAAGGGGCAATTGAAGATACTGTTTATGTATTAAGGAAAATAAGTACAAAGATGAAAATAATAGAAGAGAATAACTTGGCTGAAAGTGAAAACAAAACTATGATATAAAATGGACTATTTAAATGAGAGGACGTAAAAGAAAACGCTTTATTCCTATAATATGTATAATTTGTATTTTTTTAAAAAATCTTGAATTACAAATAATAATAGATGGGGCGTGGCCAGCCAGAGGTGGTATTTACCGGTTCTCCAAACTACTCAAAATTTCCGCTACCGGTTCTCCAAACTACTCAAAATTTCCGCTACCGGTTCTCCAGAAGTGGTCAGAACCTGCTGAATCCCACCTCTGCTCAGTGGAGACCCCGACTCAGGTCTCACAGTACTTGAGCACCTCTTCAAATGCCAACTGCCAACTCACACTTCCACGGCAGGAGGGTCGTGAGAAACGCCCCTCGGCAACGCACAGCTGCCATTCTGGGAAGTCTGAAGAAGCGAATGGGGTGGGGTAACGTGACCCAGCCTTCCCGCAGCCCCACGGCCTGTGGAGGTGCTGGAAATGGCACTCCTATCGGTTGGGAATCCTGGAAATTGAAATCCCAACGTCACTGAAGGCCTTTGCTGAAGGAGGAGACCATCCCTGCTTGCAGACTGCGCGGCCCTTCCGTAGATGCTGCACGCAGGGATAACTCTGGCGGCTGCCCTTAAACCCTTTGCCCAAATTATGCTGTGCAGGAGAAGCAGGAATGAAATGCTGGACGTTTAGGAGCAGACAGGGCCCCTCTGGGGAGCCTTACCTGTGAGCAGCAGACTTCTTGGGAGCGGCCTCGTAGTCCTCAGGATACCAGCGCCTGGGTGAGAAGAAAGAAGGAGGAATGCTGAGGAAGCCAAAGCAGGAGGGCCTGCAGAAGCTTGGAAGAACTGTGGCCACAAGAGGAAATCAGCTTTACCAAAGACCCTTTAAGGTCCGTAAAGGCTTTTTCTAAAAATGTGCATCATTTGTCAACCTCAACTCCTCAAAAAGGCGATGACAAAATACAGGTGATCCTCAACTTACAATAGTTCATTTAGCGGCCGTTCAAAGTTACAACAGCGTTGAAAAAAAATGACTGTCAGGCTTGGAAGCCATTGTTGATTGACCATGTTTGCCTGGGGATCTCTGGCCTGCCACACTTTCTATTATTCTCCTTTGCCTTTTCTATGGTGGGAAAGTGAGAGGGGGGATTGTATGGAGTTAGATGCTATGTAGCCATAACAACATTCTTTCTAGAAAGCCAAGGTCATCATTTGTCTTTGCACCTCTGCACCTGACCGGAACTGGATGGGTGGAAGCTGCCAGCGCGACAGTGGGAGATTGGACCATGTGATGGACTTGTGGGTGTGGGGGGCAAGATCTTGAACTTTCAACTGGGTGGGGAAAACTAGGAAGCTTTCAGATTCGGGTTTTCCCAGATGTGTCAACGTGGCTCTCTTCATCAATTGGAACTCTGAGGAATCCTTTGCCTTGCGCTCTGATTTAATTTTGGATGCTATTTGGGACCTGACAGTGACTTATGACCATTTTTCTACAATTATGACCGTTGCAGGCTACTGACTCATATTTATGATGGTTGTAGTGTCCTGGGGGGGCAGGTGTTCCCATTTTGCAACCTTCTGACAAGCAGACGGGGAAGCCAGATTCACTTAACAACCCGTCTGATTGACAATTACGGTGATTCGCTTAACAACTATGGCAAGAAAGGTAATAAAGCAGGGAAAACTCACTTTAACAACTGTCTTGTTTAGCAACAGACGTTTTGAGCTCAATTTTGTGGTGGCAAGTCAAGGGCTCTCTGTACGTTTTCAGCAAAGTTAAGTATAAACTATAAAGCAGTGTTTCTCAACCTTGGCCACTTGAAGATGTCCGGACTTCAACTCCCAGAATTCCCCAGCCAGCATTCGCTGGCTGGGGAATTCTGGGAGTTGAAGTCCGGACATCTTCAAGTTGCCAAGGTTGAGAAACACTGCTATAAAGCCTTCAAAATTCCCACCAATTTAATTCTAGGGCAGGACAACCTTGAGGTAGCCCCTAAAACGCCAGGTATTTCCCCGAAGACAGCTCTCTGCCTCGCTGAGCTCCCCTTCCCAACCTCTGCTCATCCCAATTCCACCCTTCCATCTCTCCCACAAGTGGGGATTCTGTGGGGGGGGGGGGGGGCACCAGGCAGCTGAAGAAAAAGGGACCCCTACTCCACCACTGAGCATTCAACAACCTGCAGAGTTCCTTCACGGTGCTGACGTCGATGATCCGGTAATGCAGGTGCTTCATGAACTGTGGCATGTGCTTGTCAAGAAACTTCTTGTCGGCATGAACAGAGTTTCCTGTCCAGAAGGGAAAAACACCCAAGTGAAACCAGGATTCTCAGCCAGGAGAGACAAAGGAAAAGGGCTACATTTCCAGAGTCGACCCATCACGGTCGACTCTGGATTTAACAGACTAAATGTCCCTTAAAGCCAAACGCCCATTAAATGGAATGTTGTCCTGAATACCAAAGGAACAAGCTGGAGTTAATCAAGTCCTGGCTGCCCTCTTTCCCCCCCCCCCCCCCCCCCAGCAGCCCCTGCCTGGCCACCCCATTGGCCTGGCTCCCCCCCGCCACCTCCAGGTGCCAGGGCCAACGTCCCAGCACCATGGCATTCTCTTCCAGGCATCGTCTCCTTAAGTCCCTTAAGTCAACCACTGGAGTCTGGTTCCCAACCTCCCCCACTTTAAGCCATGCAAACTTCCCAGAATTCCTCCAGACAGCTGGCTGGCTGGGGATTTCTGGGAGTTGAAGTCCAGGCGTCTTTAACCTTGCAAACCTTGGGGAACCCCGGTGGAAATGGACGGGAGGGACCCAGTCCAAGGCTCCAACCTGCGAGAGGGCAGACCCCCGGCGGAGTCTGTTGTCGGATGAAGGACAGAAACTCGTACTCTGCTTGGCGCAGGGAGACCGTGCTCTCCTTCACTGCCTTGGTGAGACCGGACTGTGAAGAAAAGAGAACGGAGACACTCAGACCCAACCGCCACAGCTTTCAAGGAGCCCATTTCTGAGGGTTGTTGCCTAAGAGCCGAGGTGGTGCAGTGGTTAGGGTGCAGTACTGCAGGCCACTTCAGCTGACTGCTATCTGCAGTTCAG